AAAAAAAAAAAAAAAAAAAAAAAGAAGAGAGGAAAGGAAAGAGGGAAGGAAGGAAAGAGGGGGAGGTAGGGAAAAGAAAGAGAGGGAGAGAGAAAGAGAGGAAGGAAAAGGGAAAAAAGGAAAAGAAAGAAAGACACGGTGGCTATTACCTGTAATCCCAGCACTTTGGGAGGCAGAGGTGGGCAGATCACTTGAGACTAGGAATTCGAAACCAGCCTGGCCAACATGGTGAAACCCTGTCTCGACTAAAATTACAAAAATTAGCTGGGTGTGGTGGTGAATGCCTGTAATCCCAGCTCCTCGGGAAGCTGAGACATGAAAATCACTTGAACTCAGAAGGCAGAGGTTGCAGTGAGCTGAGATCACACCATTATACTCCAGCCTAGGCAACAGAGCAAAACTCTGTTTCAAGAAAAAAAAAAAAAAAAGAAAATGGGCAAATCTTGAATGGACATTTCAGTGAAAGTATAAGAATGGTAAATAAGTACATCATAAGATGTTCAATATCACTGGCCATTAAGGAAATACACAGGAAAACCATGAGGAGCTACAAATAACAGGTATTGAAATGGCTGAAATACAAAGTTCTGACAATACCAAGTGTGGATGAGAATGCAGGGAAACTGGATCTCTCATACGCTGCTTGTGGAAGTGTAGAATCATACAGCCATCCTAGAAAACAGTTTGGCAGTTCTTTCTAAAATTAAATGTACACATACCACATGACCCAGCAAGAATATTTCTTGGCATTTAAAAACCTGTACATAAACGTCCATAGCATTTATTATTTTTTTAGCTAGAGTCTTGCTCTGTTCCCCAGGCTGGAGTACAGTGGTACGATCTCGGCTCACTACAACCTCCACCTCCCAGGCTCAAGTGATTCTCCCGCCTCAGCCTCCTGAGTAGCTGGGACTACAGGTGTGCGCCACCATGCCTGGCTAGTTTTTTGTATTTTTAGTAGAGATGGGGTTTCACCATGTCAGCCAGGATGGTCTCTATCTTCTGACCTCATGATCCGCCTGCCTTGGCCTCCCAAAGTGCTGGGATTACAGGTGTGAGCCACCTCGCCCAGCAGCATTTTTATTTGTAATAGCTCAAACTGGAAGCAACTCAGATGGCTTTCTTTTCATATTAATTTATTATGTAGAGATAGGGGTCTCCCAGTGTTGCCCAGGCTGGTCTCAAACTCCTGTACTTATTCCTCCCGCCTCAGCTTCCCAAAGTGCTGGGATTGCAGGCCTGAGCCACTGGCCTCCAGATAACTTTCAATCAGTGCATGGTAAACAATCTATGGCACATCCATCCCATGGAATATTACACAGCTATAAGGGATGGATCAAGGTGACATGTTAGGCTGCTAGCATACCAGTTAGATTACATAATACTGTGCTAAACTGCTCATATTATAGTGTGCAAGACAAGATGAGCATGACCTAGTGAGCTGTGCCAAGGGAGGGGACATGAATAGGATTGGATGGATCTCCAAGAAGAGACAGCCAATATCATCTTGAGGGATCCAAGGTTTTCCCAGAGGAAGTAATGGTTGGGCAGAGACAGGAATGTCTAGCAGTGGGTCTCATATCCTGTTTCCTTTTTTTGAGACAGAGTCTCGCTCTGTCACCCAGGCTGGAGTGCAGTGATGCGACCTCAGTCTCCTGAATAGCTGAGATTACAGGTGCCCATCACCACACCTGGCTAATTTTTGTATTTTAGTAGAGATGAGGTTTCACCCTGTTGGTCAGGCTGGTCTTGAACTCCTGACCTTGTGATCCACCGGCCTCGGACTCCCAAAGGGCTGGGATTACAGGTGTGAGCCACTGCACCCAGGCTGTTCCCTTTTTTTTTTTTTTGAGACAGGGTCTGGCTCTGCCACCCAGGCTGGAGTGCAGTGACTTGATCTCCACTTACTGCAACCTCTGCCTCCCTGGCTTAAGCAATCCTCCCACCTCAGCCTCCCGAGTAGCTGGGACTACATGCACACACCACCACGCCTGG